CTCCGTCGCGGCTTAGATCTGGAGAAGATCGGCGCGATGGAGGACGGAGGAGGTGGAGCGGCGGTGCGAGGTAGACAGAGGTGGAAGAGAGGTGCGAGAGTGACGAGGTGGACGAAGGTGGAGAGTCGACGACGGAGGTGAAGCGGCAGTGCCAGTTGGACGGCGGTAGTGGTAGATCTGGATGAGAGACGCGGTGGTGGTGGTGGTGGTGGTGCGAGCTGGACGGCGGTGGTGGTGGATCTGAGAGAGAGAGAGAAGTCAGTGAGTGAGTGAGATAGAGGGAGATGAGAGACACGGCTCTGAGAGAGAGAGAAAGAAGTGAAAGTGAGATGATCTGTGAGATGAGAGACGCGGGTTTGGTTAATATGTATATATATATATAGGGGTAAAACCGTAATTTCACATCGGGGATTAACCGGGCCGGGGAACGGGGACGGGGCCGGGCCGGGGCCGGGACTGGAACACTTATCCCCGTTCCCGGCCCGAAACTGTTCGGGGATTGGTTTTTGAATACCATCCCCGTCCTGTCGGGGATATTTTTCGGGGAAAACCCGCTCAATTCGGGGCTAAGTATCCTACCTCAATGAAGTTAAAAAAATTTCAAGTGTTGAGACCCCCTTCTCCTTCCTTCTTCCTTCTTTCCCTCTTTCTCTCCACTCTTTTTTTTCTTTCTCAGCCGTGTGTATGCATCATGGCTGATGGTGAGGTCACTTATATAGGGAATATGGGAGCAACTTTTTGTTTTATTTAATTATTTCCTTTCTTTAGCAAAAAAAAATTTCTATTTGTTTGGAATTGCCATCATATGCCATGCTTGCTTCTCTAGGGACGTTAAGTGTGAAATTGGAAAAACAAGCATGCCTTGCATACAGCAGAGTAGCCTAGGGAAAAGAAGGGGCAGTCTGCCACCTTTCTTGCAATTTGACATTTTTTTTAATTATTTTATTTTGAATTGAATTGAAATTGATGCCAATACAATATTAGTATATATATATAACCTTTTTTTTTTTTTTAACTTGATGGTTTTCTTCCTACTAAACTCTAACTAGCTTATTTACTATTAATTTAATCCATTTAGTTTTCACAACTGCATTAGCTACATAATTTTTTTTTTATCACAGGAAGACAAATAATTTTATTTAAAGGAATTTAACATTGGTATTAATCATGATGTTATTAACACTATAATTTGATAATTTAATAATCACTATTAATTGACTTAATATTGTTATTAACAAACTAATTAGTAGTCAAAAAATTCAATTTCTTACAAGAGCTAGTTATTGGAGTTTGGTCCTGGTTGCTTGCAACGATTAGTTGCATTCCCTCCAACAATGGGTTGCTCCGGTGAACTGCCTGTTGCTTGGGATGCGCTGCTTGATATTTGCACAATTCCTTGCGGTGGTTCACCCTGCCATAGAAAAAGCAAAATGAATGAATAGATTCATATTCTATGTTATAACTTTTCTTACCTAGGAGGAATCTAGGGCAGAGTGGCTTGCGTAGATCCACTTCGATACAAACCCTTGCGAATCAGCCTCTAGTAGCCATAGCTGTGGTGAGGTCAATCTTTAGAGGTTTACCAATCTGCCTAACAATCGCATAAAGGACTTTCTCTTGGAAATATTCAATCGGAAGCTCCAGAAACCTAACCCATACGGCAATAGTGGTTTCAAAAGCTTCCGATGCCTTAAAATCAGGCTCCCATTTACATACAGTGAGATAATGGTCCATAATGACCTACGATCATCCGGAGTATACTTTTGCACAGTCTTCTATTGAGGAAAATTTGAACAAGAAATAGTTATTGCCCAAATCTATAGCACTAAAGTCCTCTTGTAGGCCTCATAGATTCTTAACATTTGTGTAGAGCATCCTATACCTGATGTTCTTGCCCAGTAGTCTGATTATCAGTGTATTAGTCCAAGGTTTGCGAATCTATTCCAGAAGTTTTTTCAGGAGATGTACTTGTGGGATGCCTTGTTGAGTTGGGTGCAGGTTTCCTTCATGGATGGTTATATCGCCCTCATCATCCTCCTCGTCGACTGAAAGAGAGTCCATAGTGTCATCAAAATGGAAATCAGTATTACGTGAAGCTGTTAGAGCTTCCTTGAACGATTTGACCTTCTAGCCCTCGGCAGTCAACGGTTGAGGGGGATTGTCTTTTGGATCCTAATCTGATAATGAGATAGGAGGGAGACTTGGACTTTCAGCTGTATCCATGGTCTCTCCTTCTGTGTGGTCCTTACTCTTAATTTTCTTGGTACTTCTGACCAAGCGGTCTTCCTCTTCTTGAGATTTCGTGGCTGGGGCTGAGTTGGAGGTCACTAAATCGCATATTCTGAGCTAGTCATGATTCTAACACTATTCAATTCAATCATTGTCCTGCATTCTCTTATCGGTCGTCCAGTTAGTCATCCGATAACAATGTGGCAGCCGCAGTCAACATGAATGACAACCACAGTAGATAAGTGTTGTACCGGTTATTCTGATGGTCGTCCGACCAATCAACCAGCATGCACAAAACGTGGCCTCTTCCATACCTTTGGATCCCTAGTTGCCACGTGTTTTAATCAAATGAAGAGTGCAGGAGAGTGCTGGAAAGAAGAACGCAAGAGAAAAGGCAAATCCACTATATGTATTTTTGTGGATTGTCTACAATAAGTGGTAAGTGGCCTCCCACTCCATATTCTGTCCAATCAACTAACTGGAACAAAAAGTAATATATATTTACTGAAATTGTTATACTGGTTAGGTTTGAGCTTAAGAGGGTGAATAAGTCAAGCTTCAACTAAATTTAATTCAATAATGTTAGAAATATTGATAATTGTATTAACTAGAGGGGTTGTTTAGGGTGTCCTAAATAAGTGCACTTTTTATCTTTTTAGACTAAAAAATTGAGGAAAAAAATATGGATGTTTGGGTTAACTTTTTGACTTTTTATGAAAAAAAATGTATTAAAAAATTATATAAATTAGTGTGTAGGGGAAAATTATGATTGGGAGTTGTGCAACCGTAATTTTTTACTTTTTGTGAATAGTGATAACTTTTTAACTTTTTGAGTAACTTTTTGACTTTTTTGAAACTTGCCAAACTTGACTTTAATTAGCATTTTAAAAAAAAATGCTAGTGTTCTTAGCAATTTAATTGCATGAAATGATTAATTAAAGTCAATTATAGCCATTTCCTTATCAATTAATAATAAATTAATCCAATATGAATGCTAACCATAACAATACCAAAAACAAATCCACTAAATCAAAACAGTTACAAGTTTAATTAAATTTTAGTGTAAATTACAAATACACCTCCTGAGATTTGCTTAAAATACAGATTGTCCTATGTGGTTTAAAAAATTACAAATATCCCCTTGTTAGAATTTTTTATTTAACAAAATTAACTAAAATAATAAAATTCATAATTGCTCTCCTATATAATAATAAAATTACCTAAATTATTAACTGAAACATATTTCTAACATCATTAAAAACTATTAATTGACTTGATGATTTATTAATAAAAGGGGCGATTTGTTACTAAATTAGAAACCTGAGGGAGTGGAATGTAATTTTCAAAATTATAGGAAGCGATTCATATTTAATTAACAGTGATGCTACGTAGCTTGAAACCCCTCCCCCGAACCAAAAACGACGCCGTTTTTGGTTCGTTTTTTTTTTTTTTTTTTTTTTTTTTTGTGCAGATCAGAACCAGGAAGAAGAAGAAGGAAGAGGGAGGAGGAGGAGGAGGGACTGGAGAGGGCATAATATTCGGGGGAGGAGGAGGCGGAGGCGGAGACGGCGGTTGGAGCTGGAGCTGCTGCGACGAGCTGGCGGTGAGGCGACAACGGCAGGCGGGCGAGACTCGCAGCCCTCTTCTTCCTTCTTCTTCTCTCTTTCTCTCCCTCTCCCTCTCCCTCTCCCTCTTCCCCATGCGTTTCAGTTTCAGACTGAAAATGGAGGAAAAAAAAGAAAAAAAAAAAAACCTAATGCCCAAAACAACGTTGTTTTGGACATTATGGGGATTCAGGGGAGGAAAGTCTCGAGCTACCAAACATTATTCTTTAATTAAACCTCATAAGTATATTTATAATTTACCCTAAATTTTATAATGCAGCACGAGTCTCTTCATGTTTAATCTCCACTCTAAAGTGGCATTGATGGTGTCAACCTCCATTAGCAAATTATTTTTTAAAAAAACATCTTTTGAGAAACAGTTTTTAAGTTATTTTTAAAATTCTCAAAAGTTACTTATGAATTAAAAGATGAAAACAAGCAATATTATTAAACTTTTCATTTTTTTTTTAAAATCAAAACATGAGAAGTGAAAACTTAAAAAATAAGAACATTACCAAACGTGTCCTAAATGTCCTAACCATGCCGACATCCTTTTAATGTTCCAAATGAGGGGCCCAATATTAAAAACGTGAGGCATAATTGAGCCCACACCACAGTGAGCCCTTTTCACAGGTTTAAAAACCCCCCGGACCATTTTTTATTTTTTTTTAAAATAAACACAAAACACCTGAATTAATTCTCAATTCCAACCATTTTCAATTCAGCTTGCAAAAATTCAATTTAATTGAAGTGTTTTACAACTATACGCTCACATTAAATTCAAATGAAACTGGAATGGAAATTCATACCATATAGACAATACATTTTTTCTCCAATTTAAATCAAATATTCATAATTTTTTTTAAAAAAATTATCTACATTATTTATAAAAAAAGATGTTCATTATGTTTGAATTTGCATAATTCATATCCATCTTATTAGACAAATTCAGATTTCAAGACAAACAAATTTAAACATTGATCAAGCTCGAGCTGAGCCCATACAAACCCTAAACTCAACCGAACCTAGCTCCAAACCTAAAATAATAATAATAACTGTTTGCTGTCTTTTATTTATAATTTGGTCACAAAAAAAAAAAAACCGCCTATGACCTAACTACCATTCACAAGGAGTGTATGAGTGATGAATCCACCGTTACAACTTGTTTCTGTCCTGTATTGTGTTGGAAGGTGGCCTGCTTTCTTTGGGTTTTCTTTCTTGGTTTTCTTGGTTTGGTTCGGTTGTGCATTCGAGGGGTATATCTGCCTCAAATCCATCGAATATTATTTCTCCACTAAATCCTCTCTTTGTGGCTGCAAACCCTTCTCCAAATTTTCTCCTTTTTGTCTGTTTGCCAAGCTGTTCTTCCCCACCTCCCTCTCTCTCTCTCTACAAACCCCAAGCCTCTCAATCTGACTTTTTTTCTTTTCTTCCTTGTTTCTTTTGCTACAGAGAGAATATCCATTTGGGTTTTCCCGATAATGACCTGAATGGATTGATTATTGATTGAGTGTCTTATCGCCTCTGCAACCCATAAACAACCATGCAACATTCAAGTGTGAGTACTCAACAACCTGGTAATGTGTTTAGTTTTGTATCCAAATTGAGTCACTTTGCGTTTGATTCTAGGTTTGACAGCCTGATTTCTGATGGGTACTCTTCAATTTCGCCTAATTACTTGTACTTTGATGGAATTGGAGGTTGGGTTGGTGAGAAGAAACCCAAGTCTAACAAGGTTGTGGCTTCACTGAGTTTGAGTAGTAGAAGTGCTTCTAGTATTCGAAAACTTATCAATGAGTTCAATAGGGTTGTCAAGTTTCATTGTGAGAAAATCCCAATTGGTTTCGCCTCAATTAGGGTTGGCTCGGGTGATGCTAATGGGTTGAGAGAAGATGGATGTGGTGTTTTGGAGGATGAAGGAATACACTTGAATGGTGTCGAATCGGGTAGTCCTAAAAAAGTTTTAATTTTGATGAGTGACACTGGTGGTGGTCACCGGGCTTCTGCTGAAGCCATTAAGGCCGCATTCAACGAAGAATATGGTGATGAATATCAGGTCAGTTTTGATTGCTTGGTTTTCATAATTTAGTAAAATGTTTAGTGGGTATGTGTTAATTTATTGGTTGATCATGTTCTATGTGTTAAGAGTGTGTGTTGCAGGTGTTTGTTACTGATTTATGGACAGATCATACCCCTTGGCCATTTAACCAATTGCCTAGGAGTTACAACTTCTTGGTGAAACATGGGACTTTGTGGAAAATGACTTATTATGCCTCAGCTCCACGCGTGGTGCACCAATCCAATTTTGCTGCAACGTCAACATTTATAGCTCGGTGAGATGATTTGTTTGAAAATTCATGTAAAGTATTTATTTTAGTTTATTTGTCTTCTGAAACAAGCCATTGTGTGCTACTGTTCTACAATATAATCTGGTTATTAGTCCTCCAGTGAATTTCTATGCCAGAGATTGGTCTATGGTCCATCTTGGACAAAACATATGATTTTGGAAACTAAATTAAGTTTCTAGAGGCGTATGCTGTAAATGTTTTCATAATCCTGTTTTAAAGGCTGTGACATGAATGCAATACAGTTTTTTACAGTTTAATCAAAGTCTGCTATATTAATTCGCTCAAGTCTTCAGCTTCAACTACGGAATTTGCTCATGTGACTCAAGTAAGCTGAACAAAATACACATTCTTAAATTTGGAATGAAATTGTCAGACACAAATTGACATAGAAGTCATGAGACTATTTTTCTTCACAGAATATCTTCATCTAGTAGTGCAAGGAGGATTTACTTCAATCTATCCCCTCCATACAAATGGCCAATTTCTTAAAAATATGATCGTGTTGCAATACCCTTAGGTAATTGATTTTGAATCAGACCTGTGCGGCTTATATTATATCTTTGGTCTACTTATTTTGAATCCCTAGATTCCAAGGTAGTGTCTTGTAGTTCTATTTTGCATTTTCACTAATTGTTATCCCCATCAATCAATGCTACTTCATAAAGCATAAAGCAATAAACCTCACAGGGAAAAAATTGATATCAATTCATTGATAACCAGAAAAGAGACTTAAAGCTGACTCTTGATGTAAGCCATTTGTAAGGGAAAGCACTTTTGTCTTACGAACTTCCTAGATTGCCTCTTATTTGAATTGAGTTGCTTGATATTTTAAATTCTTGTTGACTTAGAAATTAGCCAAATGAAGTCTCTCTCTCTCTCTCTCTCTATATATATATATATATTATATGTCTTTTGCCTAGTAAAAGATTATTCAAGACTTTTTCTATTCATTTTGAGATTCTCTTTTCTTGTTTATTGGCATCGAATGGTTTATAGTTCATGTGTTTGCTGTCTTTTATTTATAATTTGGTCACTTATCTTTTTGTTCTTCCCCAAATCCCTTGAAATAAATGCAACTTCTAGAAAATTAAAATTGTTCATTTTAATTTCATTTGTAGTAAGGCAGATATTCTGGATGCATTGATTGTTATTCAAATCTAATTTTGTTATCCTGTATTTTTGCAGAGAGGTGGCCAAAGGTTTGATGAAGTACCAGCCAGATATAATTATCAGTGTGCATCCTCTGATGCAGCATGTTCCACTTCGTATTTTGAGGGCAAAGGGTCTTTTGAAGAAGATTGTGTTCACCACCGTAATTACAGATTTAAGCACTTGCCATCCAACATGGTATTTTCTGCACTCATTGTTTCCTGAATGCACTGTTCTTTGTGTAGTTTTGATTTTGTATGCCTTTACTCCTGTTTAGGTTTCATAAGCTTGTGACAAGATGCTATTGTCCCACAGAAGAGGTAGCAAAAAGGGCATTGAAAGCTGGACTTCAGCCCTTTCAAGTTAAGGTTTTTGGCCTTCCTGTGCGACCATCCTTTGTTAAACCTGTTCGCCCAAAGGTTGGTTGAGTTTGTAACCAATTATTTTTTTGAAACTTTGATGACTATTTGACGCGTATGCTTTGTTGTAACATAGTGTTTCATTAGGAAAATTGTGCCTTTTGAGCGAATCATTTGTGTACTCTGTAGGAAAGATCATGCAAATTGTCTACTAGAATATCATAAGCGAAAATGTTCATATAACTAATCCATTGTATTGTTGCTAGTAAATGATTTGGGTGGATCACATTAATTATTTTGAAGATTTATGAAGTTAAGTTGTGTCCTCGATTGCTTTGTGATTTTGAAGCTAGGTGTATATGAATTTGTGGCATAGACACTATATGGACAAGGTGAGGACGTGGCAGTATATAAGTATAATTCTTATATACACACATAAAACATAAGTAAACAACTTACATATACACTTCGATAGTAAGAGTGTCATAATGTGGAAGATGAATCTTGACATGTTCATTTGATTGTTTTATTCATACGTAAAAAACTTATACGTACTTTGATAGTGACAATTTATTTAATTTTTATGTACATTGGGTCAAGCCCAAAAAAGGCCTTCATGGTGGCATGATCCAGGTAGGAAACCTGATTAGGTAAGATAAGACAATTTGACGAAGTATAAAATCCCACTTTATAAGGGATAGTGTATGATTATGATAAATATACGTTGTATCATTGTGGCTATATGAACACAAACATTTTCTCTCAAAGGACTCTCTCCATCACTCCTTTCCTCTCCCTCCCATTCAAGAGAGAGAATTAGCCTATACAGTCTGCGTTGTGGAAAAGTTGGGTTACACTCATCATTTGTAGTATAACTCCATCGTGAGGGTTATTTGAAAATCAATCTTGTTCAAGAAAGACGTTTGGAGTGTGTGAAGTAGTCTGTCATATACAATTCGCCGGTTTATTTTGTTATAAGTGCCAAAAGGTTTGCCCAAATTCATGCTTGCTTCCACTTGGTTAACATTCTATATTGGTGTCAGAGCCGACATAAGGTGTTTTTGTGCTCTAATGTCTTGATTAATCTCTGGAACGCGTTTTAAATCATAATTAGATTTTCTTTTTATAAATAGGTGATTTATATCCTTGGACATGCTATGAGGACACTCTCCTTGTTTGAAATGATAATTAACCTAAATTGCTTTGCATGCTTGTTATCATGTTTTAGTTTCACTAAGTTCAATCTTATATAAATAGGATGAATTGAGGAGAGAACTGGGGATGGATGAGGATCTTCCTGCAGTGTTGTTGATGGGTGGTGGGGAAGGAATGGGTCCTATTGAGGCTACAGCACGGGCGCTTGGAAACACATTATATGATGAGAATGCTGGGGAACCAATAGGTCAGGTCCTCGTAATATGTGGCCGCAATCAAAAGCTCACCAACAGATTGCTTTCTATTGATTGGAAAATTCCTGTCCAGGTATTAACATCCCATTGGAACTTCAAATTACCGCTTTGCTCATACTCTGGCCTTCTAAAATTTATTAGGGTTAATTATATACATGTTGAAAATTTATACGAAACTTTCATACAAATTGATTTGACCATTCACTTTAAAACAAAACATTCTTGGACATGAGTTTTATTTACAAAAATGGCATTGCTTCATGATTCTTGTAGTGTTTTTTTGTATGATTATTCTGCAGGAATAGAGTTTTCCATTTATTAAATGTTGTTTAAGGAGTTAAATTGTCTTGTGATGATTAGTCACTATTTTCATTCCAGTGGACTGGTGATTTTTTTTACGTATAATCTTCATTTCCTCTACAATCACAAAATCACGTACCCTCCCCCCCTCTCTCTCTCTCTCTCTCTCCAAGATGCTTGCCTTCCCTCTCTAAAGTTCAATTTGAGTATAGTCTTCAAATAATTCTTAAACTCCTGCAATTGTGCTGTGAACGTGTACATAATGGATGCGCATCTATTAACTTACAGTATGGTCCAGATATAATACGGATAAGGTGTGTGTTTTTAATTACTGTAATATGTATATATATATTGCCATGACTTACAATAGAAGATGCTTGTAACCTTAGATAAAGGGGTTTGTTACCAAAATGGAGGAATGCATGGGAGCTTGTGATTGCATTATTACGAAGGTAAATCTCTCGTGGCTTTGATTGCGGTTGTAATAACCACCATTAACCATTTGATATTTATTTATTCATTGACTTTTATTATAGGCTGGTCCAGGGACTATTGCAGAAGCTATGATCCGAGGACTCCCCATAATTCTCAATGATTACATTGCTGGGCAGGTAATTCTTAATTTTTAACTTTCATTGTTCCTTATAATAAATAAACATGAAGTTAAAAAAATAAATAAATAACAGCTTATATTCTTATGTCCTTGCAAACGTAAGCACACGGCCTTCAATAGTCAAACGTTCATGAAAGTTAATTTCTCGCCATTGGATAGTATTAGAAGTGTGCTTTCTAGATTCAGGAAACTATGCTTAGAAACAAGAGCAACTCAAACACCTAATTAAAAGGTGACACATGGGTGGGACTAGAGTTGTGCAAAAAACACCCAACCCACCCAAACAACGCCAATCGGCCCCACTCCACACTGTTTGAGAGTGTTGGCAGAGCAGGTTAGGCGGATCTAAATATGATTTACAGCGACTTGGTTGATGTGTGGTTCATAATTTTACAAACTGCCTCAGCCAAATCAACCTCCCCAACTATTGTGCACTCATCTACAATCAATACTCGGACCCTATGTTACATGGATTCTTCAAAATATATCAAATACCCGTGTCAGACACCCAACACTTAGACAAGGGTATGGGATATATGTCTGATACAAGTTTGATGGATCCAACATCTATAAAATTACTTAAGCTTTTGGGTTCAAAGTTACAAAAGCTATGGTGCTCTTCTAAACGTCAATTTTTCTGTTTCTGTTTCATGTTACAGGAAGCTGGAAACGTGCCATACGTGGTGGAAAATGGATTTGGTAAATTCTCAAAGTCGCCAAAAGAGATAGCGAATATTGTTGCTCAATGGTTCGGGCCAAGAGGTGACGAACTGAAGGCCATGTCGCAAAATGCACTGAGGCTGGCAAGGCCAGATGCTGTATTTAAGATTGTCCATGATCTTCATGAATTGGTCAGACAGAAAAGCTTTGTACCCCAATTTTGTTCAACCTAGCTCAAATTTTCAAACACATTTTTGGTTCACAGTTTTCCAATATAATATAACATAATTGTTGGTTAATATGCATGTTTCTTCTCTGCCCTTTCATTCAATTGCTCTTTTCGCGTTTTAATTGATTTAAATGAATTTTGAGCTGTTGGCATGCCATATCATCTTTCTCCAACATGAAAGTTTCATGACCATTGTCATTTAGACAGTTTATGATCTTCTTTAGTAGTTTGACACCTCCAAATTAGAACTCTAAAAGGAGGTTACTTTGTTTGCTTATTGTGTGCATACTAGCTAGCCGTTTCGGTGTCCCAACTTAAAAAGATAAATATTTGGCATATAAGATTTTTGGACTTGTAACTGTTTAACTGCTGGATTGATTGAACTTGAGATGATAAATTCTAATCAACCTCACTTTCTATGATTTATTAATCTCAAATATTTCTTAAAAGATCAATTCAAACATTTGTTAATCGGCTTAAATTTATTTTATTATTAAATTTTATTAATGGCACAAATTTAAATAATTATTAAAAAGGAAAAAATGACGGGAAAAAATTATAAACAAGTAAAACACTTATTTGTGTTACAAATTTGTACCAAACTAGTTTTGTTTATACTTGTCAAAAAACGTTATTAAGTAAATTTTTGTTATCTCAATATATATTTTACATGTTTCAAAATATTTGTACATATTTTAAAATAATTTTAACACATTTCAATTTTTTTTTTTTTTTTTAACATATTTTCTAATATTGATAATAATCCTTAGGCTATTTTTAGCAATTTTCAAATTCAATTTCAACCGAAGTGAAGCACAATCCCTCGACATTTTATCAATTTCATACTCTTTAAAATTCTACTTAGATTGGTTGAGAATAAAAAGACATTTAAAAAGTGAATATATATATATATATGTGTTTGTAAAAAGAAAAAAAAAATTACATTTCATATAGTTTTACACAGTTTTTTTCCTTTCTTTTTTTAAATCGTTCAATCAACCATAGCTTTATATTATCTTTGGTTAAGAGATTTGGAGAGAGATTTAGAAATGAAAAGGAAAAAAGTGTGTGACACTAATGATGTGTTTGGTTGGGGGATTTGGGGAGGGATTTGGAAAGGAAAAGGGAAAAAATGTGTGAAATTATGTGAAATATATACATATTTTATTCACATTTCACTTACCTTTTCCATTTCTCTTTCCAAATCCCTCCCCAAATCCCCCAACCAAACACAGCATAAGTGAAATATAGGTATATTTTATTCTCATTTCACTTATCTTCTCTTTCTCTTTTTAAATCTCTTCTCAAATCTTTCCATCAAATATTACATTAGTGAGTCTCATGCACATCATAATAGTAATTAGAAAATTTTATTTTATCAGTTTTTAACAGATTAACTAATTGTGTTTTATTGTATAAAATTGATGCCAAATATAATTTTTAAGTATGTTAAAGTCCGATCAAATTATTATTATTATTTTTTTTTTATACGTATTCTTCGGTAATGATTTTGGACAACGACGAAGTGATATGTTGAGAGACACGAACATGAGAGTCACAAGGAGCAAGCTTCCTGAAGAAAAGGCAATGGAGGTGCAAATACGGGCAATTATTTAATAATTTCGTAGCATGTTTGATTGGAAGGATTAGAGTATGGAATTGGGATTATTAATTCGTGAGTTCAATTATCCTAGGTTTGTTACGATATTTTGTTTACGATATTTTGTTTTAAGATTATTAATCCAATAAATAATTAATCAAATAAATTTGTAAGATTATTAGTAATAGGGTAGGGGTGGGATTGTGAATACCACACTAATTTGATAAGATTATTAATACCTCACTATTAATCTTGTGAAATCAAACATAGCCTCAAAGTATAAATATGTGATATTTTATAATATTATAATTGATAATGAAGATATGTAAGTGAGGTATTATATTAAGAGATTAGAGTACATAAAAAATATATTAAATGATGTTTGATTAAGAAATACACATACTCCGAAAATATTTAATAATTTCCTGCAAATACGTCATAAAACCCGAACTCCCTGCTCCTGCCACGTTATCCTAGAATTGAATGAACCGTTATGTTATTATGCCGACACCTCTCTTTCTCTCTATCTCTCTCTCCTCTTTTCTGTCTCTCATCAAAGTGTGCTTGCTGCCGAGACCGACCTCTCGGACAAATGTGCAACGCACTGTAAAGTAGAAACAATAATAATGAGCTAAGCCGTTTCTTTCACACACCTATTTGTTCATTTCTTGGAATCGGTGGACAATAGACAAGTGATCATGCAGATTTCTTAAGAGAAAATTTTCATTATTCCATTCAGATTGTGTGTTTATAACGATATTGGAGAGTGTTTGGTGGTGTTTTGGGAAATGGGTTGGAGGTGCAAGGCTGGGTTAGCTTTGATTGGGATTGTTGTTCTCATATGGGTCACCTCTGCTGAGGTTACTCAGGTTTGAATTTCCTCCTCTCTCTCTCTCTCTGATTGTATGTGTTTGTGAACAATTTATTTTGCTGTTTTGTTGCTGTTGGATGGTTTGATACAAAGATGAATTGATTTGGCTGTTGGGTTTTCCATGAAATGTTTTGGGGCTTGAAGGTTTTGTTGAGTTGGTTGGGTATGGGGAAGTAGAAAATGAACATTTGAGAGTCTGTCTCCCGCTATTGTCTTTTTTGTTAGGATCAAAGACACCCAGAAACTTATCTCACACACACAGATAACACAATATTTACGTAGTTCGACCCAATGCCTACATCCACGGACAGAAATGAGAATTATCACTAAAATGGAGTAAAAAATACAAATACAGAGGAGGAGATGAAACTCACTCAACTCACAGCTCTCACTCTCTAATTTCTGATGATCTCTCAAACCCTCCCCTCAGCCTCCATTTATACACTAACAGAATGGTAGATAGAGGGGCTGGCCAGCACATGGCCAGCTTGTGCCAACTCTCTTGTGTGTTGGCTTCACATGGCCAAAGGTTTCCTAACATGGCCAGCTCTTGTGTTGGCTTTGCACATTGCCAACTCCTTCTTCACATGGAGAATCATCCCTCACATGGGTGATGATATCCCACATTTTTTAAGTTGATTAAGATTTTTCAAACCCTTTTTTGCTTCAAAATTGGGTAATACTCTTTTTGATTATATTATGGGCTTTTACGTGTTTGGGAAAATGAATGGTTCGCCCATGTGGGGTGTCAATGGAAAAGAAAATCCGTAACATTTAATTGCGTGCATGCAAGAGATGGTATGAATTATTCATCATAATGGCAGGGTGATGTGCAGGGCCACTCGGGGAGGGGATGCGTGATAGAGATGTGAAAGGTGTGAGATGTAAAAACACAACAAGAAGCCTATGTGGTTGGGGTTAGGGTATTTAACAAGTTTCAAAATTTGTTCAATCTTAGTTCGTTAAATTCTTAAGTTGATCTCAAACGAGTTTTCGTTAAGCCGAGTATTTTATAATTTCATTTTTTATTTTTTAAAGTTTCCATACATCTGAAGGATCTGATGATTATCCATGCTTAATTTATTAAAATTCAAATTAACAGTAGTAATGTCTTGCAGAGAATCTTTAAGGAGTATACACAACCATTTGCATTGACGTATCTGGGGACCTCTCTTATGGTCATCTATCTACCTATAGCAATTTTCAAAGATTGGATTTGCAGCTTGCTGGACAAAAATTTGCTTAAGATCCTTTACAATGATAGCCCTTTCTTGAGCTCTTCAATTGGACTAAATATGCCACTAAGAATCAATGACATGCATTATATTCCAGAAGATGACGTTAAGAAGTTCCTAATTACTGATGTGGACTTTAATCAAGCTGAAGAAGGGCGGTCTTTGACATATAAGAATAAGGAAAATGAGACACAAATGCTTACAGAGAGTTCTGAGCTGAGTTCGTGGGACATTGCCAAATGTAGTTGTTAACATATGAATATCATATATATGAATATAATACTATATATGTCAGTATGTATAGATAGTATTAATATAATATGTATATATAATATACAACGATAGCTTTAGGTTGCTTTGCTTTAGGATTGCTTTCGGTCGCCACTAACTTTCGGCGTCGCTTTTCTTATTTTATTAATTTACATCATCATGATGTCTTGTATCCGAGCTCCTATATTAAGGAGTCTCTATTGTGTTTCTGATATAGAGTTAACATAACAGAAATATTACTCTCTCAACTCTCTCAATTTCTCATTCAATGAGCATTATTGTTGTATATGCATGAAATAAATGAAAAGATGTGGTCACAAAATCCATAACTGGAAGGGGTTTGACAGGGAAGTCTATTAAAAGATACTCAACCGAAGGTGAGAGGGGGTAGGGAGATATAAAAGAAAATGGTTTCAACAGCCAAATTACACCCAATTTAGCTCCATCTTAATTCTTAATCATGCCGGTCAAAAGTCAATCACAGTATTTACTAAATTTTGGCATTTCAAAAATAAATAGAGGGAAAAATCTAGAAACTGCCATTCTATCCTTTATAAAGAAGGCTAAGATGTCTAATTCATAAGCACAAATGGTTTTGTTGCTTATCAAGGATCCTAACTACATAAAACTGATGAATCAAGCTGGGTATATCTAGCTCCCCGTCATGAGCTAAAGATTGAGCTTCATGCAAGGTGAGCCTACGCATCCGTCCCAAAGCCAAGGCATGGCCAAAATAGGGCTGAGGCAAGATTTCCTCATCGTGCTAGGATTCCATCAATACTTGAAATTCTTCAAGAGTCAGACACATTTCTTGTGCTCCGAAGTGAAACACATGTGTAATTGGGTCCCAACATCTGACCGCGACATGGAGGAATGGAAAACAAAGTGGAGTACGGCTCAACAGAAAAAGCGCGTTTATGTTGAAACCTCATAAATGTACTTTTTCCATGCCATCTAAAGTGGCTATCCAATTCATGAGCTTTTCGAAAAGAAAGATCTCCATTTGTAGAGAAAACAATAGCTAAAATGAGGTTCTGGTGAAGAAATCACGAAGAGAGACCTTTTGTAGATGATAGGGCTGTGAGTGGAGGCCAGTTGTCAGCTGCCTGATGGTTCCTTCACAAGTGGCCGGCAAGCCAGAAATGGTGGCCGGCCGCCCACTTTTATGGCCTGTTGTCCACTTGTGGGCCTGGCAGTTTTGGCAGCCCGGTTTTGTCCGGGTCTTTCCGATTTAAAGTCTTGTTTTGAGTCTTTTGTTTTTGGTAAGTGTGACTAGCTATGTTTAGATTGTTTTTCTTTGATTCTTGTTTAATCGAGTTGTATTTTGTATTTAGGTTATTGGTCAGCTCATTATTCGATTAAGAACATTGTTTCCATACTAGCATTCTCGGTTTCGAAAATCAACTCCATTTTCATTCTATGCAAATGTGGTGCTCATGATGCAAAAACAATAACTCTTTTCATAAAACTGCAGAGTTTTCTCCCGATCATGGTTTTTACAAAAGAGCGTGCAGGTTTTCAAAAGCAAAAGTAAAAACCTATCTGAAGCTATACATGTGCTAAAACTACAAAATAAAAGAAACTAAGCAAAAGAATACAAAATCGACGCCAGTCATCTCAAGCTTGAGAGGCCTTCTTCGTCCTCTTCCTCGGGGGACTCAAGGGCACTGTCTCCTTCAATACCACTACCATCAAAATCAGACTCTGAGCCAGAGCTGGTATCATCATCTCCGCTCTCTGCCTCAGGGCTAGCCTCGGCGTCCTCTCTGCTCTCCGACCCCGAGCCAGTATGATCGTCCCCACTCTCAGACTTAGAGTGTCGGCTCGTTGCCTCCTCGGAGTCACTAGTCTCAGTATCGGCCTTAAGGAACTACTCCGGCCCCGGGCATCCTTGTCTCTTCCTCGACCTCGGCGCTCGACTCGACCTCGGCGCTCGACTCGACCACGAGCGGGGGCCTGTCTACCTCTCCTCTCTGCCAGTTGAGGGGGTGCTGTCGTCGCCGCTGCTACTGCAGATGTCCTCGGTATAAATGGGATATAAGAAAACAAGTGTTAGTATATCAGATACAGTATATGTATTATCACAGAATGCAGTATTCAGATTGAGTATTGTATGCAGAATAAGTGTCATGCAAAGGCCAGATTCGACATAGGTACAGTGTATCAGTGTATGTCAGTGCAATGTGGGATGGTGTGTATGTTACCAAGTGAGTATCAGTAATTTCCAGTGGTCATTTAGGTCATGTAAGTTCTGATGTTTTAGATTGTGTGTCCTGTCAACTTGCCAAACAACCTGCCTTGTCATTTAATAAAAGTGCCTCTGTTTCTCTTGCACCATTTGATCTCATTCATTCTGATATTTGGGGACCTTCTCCTACTCCTACTATGGGAGGTGCACGCTATTTTGTTGTTTTTATAGATGATTTTTCCCGTTTTACCTGGTTGTTTCTTATGAAAAATCGCTCTGAGCTCAAACAACTTTATTACAATTTTGCTACAATGGTTAAAACTCAATTTTCTAAAAATATTAAGGTTTTTCGCTCCGACAATGCCATGGAATATAAAGATTTTGATTTTCTTTCCTTTCTTCAGAGTCATGGTACTCAACCTCATCGTTCCTGTCCCGGTACGTCTCAACAAAATGGACGTGCTGAACGGAAACATCGACATATTCTTGACACTACTTGAGCTCTCCTTCTGTCTTCCTCTTGTCCGGAACATTTTTGGGGCGAGGCAGCTCTCACTGCTGCTTACACTATCAATTGTATCCCTACACCTGTCATTCATAATCACACTCCTTATGAGCCTCTGCATGGCACCCATCCCCCTTACACCAACCTTAGGGTCTTTGGATCTGCCTGTTTTGTTCTTCTCCAACCTCATGAACGTACCAAACTTGAACCACGTTCTCGCCTTTGTTGCTTCTTAGGGTATAGCATTGAACACAAGGGGTATCGTTGTTGGGATCCTCTCTCCCAACGACTCCGTATCTCTCGTCATGTCATCTTTTGGGAACACAAAATGTTTTCCTCTCTCTCTCTCTTCCGTTTGTCCGTTCCCTCACCCTCTCTGTTTTTTACTGACCCTTCCACGGATCTGTTCTCTGATGACCTTCCTCCCTCGCCCTTGCCAGCCTCTCTCGAGGTCTCTGATGAGCTTACTCCACCGCCCCTGCCGGCCTCTCTCGAGCATGCCTTGCCTTCTGGTCTGTCCCATCCCCCTGCTCACTCTGATGGTCCTGCTCTTGCTTCCTCGGGATCCTCCCCTCCTGGTGAGTCTCTCCCTCTGGCTCCTCCTGCCTCTACTCGACCACACCGGGTAACTCAACCTTCTACTCGTCTTCGTGACTTTATTGTTGGTTCTACTGCTTTTTCCACTTATGAACCGACCTCCTATCGTGAGGCTCGCTCTAATCCTCTTTGGCAGCAAGCTATGACTGATGAATTGCAGGCTTTAGACAAAACTCACACTTGGGACATTGTTGATCTTCCTCCTGGCAAGACTGCCATTGGTTGCAAATGGGTCTACAAAATCAAAACTTGTTCTGATGGATCTATTGAGCGCTACAAAGCCCGCCTTGTTGCAAAAGGCTTCAACCAAGAATATGGTATTGACTATGAAGAGACGTTTGCTCCTGTTGCTCGTCTCACCTCTGTTCGCAGCCTGATTGCGGTTGCTACCACCCGACACTGGGATCTTTATCAAATGGACGTGAAAAATGCTTTCCTTAATGGTGTTCTTCTTGAGGAAGTCTACATGCAACCTCCCCCTGGGTCTACTTATCCCCCTCATAAAGTCTGCAAACTTCAGCGTGCTCTATATGGTCTCAAACAAGCTCCACGCGCTTGGTTTGCCAAGTTCAGCTCCACTATGCATGACTGTGGTTTCACCTCCAGTTCTTATGATACTGCTCTTTTCATCCGGAACACTGCTCAAGGGACCACCTTGCTTCTTCTTTATGTGGATGACATGATTATCACCGGTGATGATATCGATGGTATTCTTCGCCTTAAACAGTTTCTTAGCCAACATTTCGAGATGAAAGACCTTGGTCCTCTCAGCTATTTCTTAGGTCTTGAAATCTTCCATGATTCCACAGGGTCTTTTCTCTCTCAGGCTAAATATACCTCTGATCTTCTCACCCACGCTGGTCTTACGAATTGCAAGACTGCCTCCACTCCCCTGGAGCCTCAAAGTCGTCTTACACCTCTTGATGGCACTCTTCTCTCTGATGCTACCCTATATCGTCAGCTGGTTGGCAGCCTTGTCTATCTCACTGTTACTCGTCCTGATATTGCCTATGCCGTTCACATTGTCAGCCAGTTTATGTCCGCTCCTCGTACCCCTCATTATGCTGCCTTAGTTCGTATCCTTCGTTATCTCAAAGGTACCTTGTTTCATGGACTTCATTATTCCGCCCACTCCTCTCTACAGCTTCGTGCCTTTTCCGATGCTGATTGGGCTGGGGATCCTACTGACCGGCGCTCTACTACCGGGTTCTGCTTTTTCTTGGGTGATTCTCTTATTTCTTGGCGCAGCAAGAAACAATCTCTTACTGCTCGCTCCAGTACCGAGGCTGAATATCGTGCTCTTGCTGATACTACTCAGGAACTTCTCTGGCTTCGTTGGCTTCTTGCTGACATGGGTGTTTCCCCCTCTGGTGCTACTGCCCTCTTTTGTGACAATCAAAGTGCTCTTCAAATTGCTCACAATGATGTTTTTCATGATCGCACCAAACACATTGAGATTGACTGTCATTTTATTCGTCAACACGTCACTCATGGTACTGTCCATCTCCTTCCAATCTCCTCTGCTGATCAACCTGCTGATATCTTCACCAAAGCCCATTCTCCTGGTCGCTTCGTTGAACTTGTCTCCAAACTCAAGTTGGTTGATGTTTGTCCTCCTTGAGTTTGCGGGGGGCTGTTAACATATGAATATCATATATATGAATATAATACTATATATGTCAGTATGTATAGATAGTATTAATATAATATGTATATATAATATACAACGATAGCTTTAGGTTGCTTTGCTTTAGGATTGCTTTCGGTCGCCACTAACTTTCGGCGTCGCTTTTCTTATTTTATTAATTTACATCATCATGATGTCTTGTATCCGAGCTCCTATATTAAGGAGTCTCTATTGTGTTTCTGATATAGAGTTAACATAACAGAAATATTACTCTCTCAACTCTCTCAATTTCTCTTTCAGTAGTTTTTATCTTGCTCCTATATGGTTTGTAACAGAGGTAACTGTGTTAGATCTTTTAGATTTGATTACATTATAAAGAAATTTCATAATGCAATCTAGGGTACGTAGCCACGATCTGGTGACTGCAAAGAAATTTCTTTGTGAAGTCTATTTTAACAGGAAAGTATTTCAAACCATGCCTTCCTTTCACTAGTGAAAAAGGAATGGTGAAAACATTTCCACGAAAATAACTTATGGCGTGGTGTCTTTCAGAGATGCTTCTAGGTTCTTTCAATTAACAATTTGTAATCATAGGCTTTACATGGCCATGGGAGCAACATAATAACTCGAGCAAAAATTTGTCTTTCCAGAATAGTTTAATCATACCAAATATGATTCTTGTATATCAATTCAATTCCTTATTAGAACTGCATTTCATAGGTGGGAAATCATTTGATTTACTTCTATAGTAAACTTTTCGGGGACTATATGTATTCATGTTCTTGCATGACTAAAATGGTAAACCAGATAAACAAAAATGTCATGTTAGGTCCATCAAATTTCCTTGATGCCCCGATGCGGTATTCTTTTAAAATCCCTGTAGTTTACTTAATGCCAAGGTTGGTATATACTGAAAAGGATTGGTAGGAAATTATTGGGTTTTTTTAGAACCAATTGAAATTATGGTCCTTTTCTTTGTGACTTGGATCCAAATATATATATATATATATATATTTAATTTTATTGTACTTTTTTGATGCCATGCAGTATTTATCGAACTCCGCATTAGCAAATACCAGCGTTACAAGTACGACTGTCTTCACTTCTACATCAGGGCTTTTCACACTCTTCTTTGGAGCACTTCTTGCTCAGGACTCCATAAATACTGTGAAGATCATAGCTGTTTGTATTAGCATGACTGGTGTTGTGATGACTACACTAGGAAAAACTTGGGCCCCTAATGAAGTGCTGAGCGTCTCTGAGTAAGTTTAAAGGCCAATATCTTCGTTTAGATCTGTAAATTATTAAATGTTGGGTGATATTTCACAATTTTGTGTTATACTGTAAGAGATATATTTTTGCTAGAAATCTATTAAGCTTCTATTTGCATTTTTTCCCTTAAAAAAAAATGTATCATTGTTATCTTGTCAAGGAGCACAAAGCATTCCAGCATTGGAGACATTTTTGGTCTTCTCTCAGCAATGTCATATGGCTTATTTACAGGTAGGACATCCCTTTTAAATGTCATTGGTTGCTAGTGTTGATTGATTTTGAAGTCTCTTTCTTAATTTATAAACTACCGGGCCACTTAGTGCAGTGCTGCTCAAGAAATCTGCTGGATTGGAAGGAGACAAGGTTGATGTGCAGAAGTTCTTTGGATACATTGGACTGTTTACTCTTCTTGGACTCTGGTGGCTTGGTAAGATACTAAAAAACTTCATTTTTCCTTGGTTATTGCAAATCATTGTTAGTTTTGAAGCTTTTACATAGCTAAACCAAATCTAACAAAACTGTCCTGTTTCCCAATCAAGTCAGGTCAGTTACATATGAATCTTTTTTCTCCATTAATCTTTAACATAGCTCTCAGCAATTATTTTTACAATGCTACATTATTCCTTGCAGTATGGCCGCTGAATGCTGTGGGGATAGAACCTCAGTTTACGTTTCCACGTTCAACATCCCTAGGTGAATTGGTGATGTTAAATAGCTTTGTGGGGAGTGTTCTCTCAGACTACTTTTGGTATGTATAGCATCCTTCTTGTACGTATGGCATGAATCTTCTGGGATTTATTAGCGTATGAACATAGTATTCCAACGAGAGGGAGTTATCATTTTGAAACATAAGAAAACATTTACTTCAATTAAAATAAATAAATAAAAAAGATTTGGATTCTGAACAAACTGAATTGTATCCAACATTCTTGTGAAAAGATTTCTAAAAGGATTTGAATGATTTCATGTCGGATGTGGTGTAGTGGCCTTGTTTGGTTCAGCATATCTTATTTTTAAAATATGTGCCAAAGTATTTGTTGCACCTTTTGCTCACTGTGTATTAAGCATAAATAGCTTAAATAATTTAAAAAAAAAGAAAGAAAAATTGATTATTGGAAAGCAGGGGAAGGAGCGGTTTTAGCTACTTATTATCAGCTTGCAGCTTACAGTAACTGCGTCAAACAGGCTCTCTCTCTCTCTCTTTGGTCTTTTTTCTTTTTACAGCTTTGTTGTAAACGGGTCCTGTTGGTAATTGAAAAAATATATATTAATTAAGAAGTATCAAACAGGGCCCTTTCTGTAGTTTGGACAACCCCATTAGTGGCAACTCTGGGCATGTCCTTGACAATACCCATTGCAATGGTAGCTGACATGGTGGTGCATGGCCGTCGCTTTTCTGCAATCTACATTCTTGGATGCATTCAGGTAGGGCCTATTTCTGTGCTATTCAGATTCATTTTTAATGGATTCTTTTTCTTAATATTTTTACCCCGGGAACATCTCTAACCAGTCCAATTTGATTCAGGTTTTTGTAGGATTTGTTGTAGCAAACCTTTCTGACAAGCATTCTTGTAAGGAAGTAGTAGAATCAGAAGTGGAAGCTGAAGATAAGTAGACTAAACTTTTGTTTGGGAACTTGGTTTGGGGCTAAAATAGCCACAAAAAACAAAATAGGCTATTTTAGTCACAAAAAACAAAACATCAAATCCAACCCATAATCATTACAATCATCTCTCACAAAAAAAGCCAAAAAAGTCAAAAAGCCAAAAAGCCCTTCCCAAACCAGGCTAAAATAGCCCAGGCTAAAATAGCCAAAAAGCCAAAAAGCCAAAAAGCCAACCCACTTCCCAAACGGAGGCTAATTTGGTGAAGTATTGGCCGCCTTTTGTCGGAGAATAATTTTGGTTGTTTCTTATCAAATTCCAAAGTCTCGAGTATTTCTTTTATTTAAAATCTTTTTTTTTTTTTCATGATCTTGCAATACAATTTACAGGGATTTGGATCTTCTCCATTAGTATTTTCCGGGGCTTTTGAGGCAAGAAGAGAGCAAAAGTGTTGTGGCATTGAGTTGTTTTCGCAATCTTTTGGGTTATTTGGTTGAAATGGAATGCAAGGATCTTCGAAAACAAATTTGAAGACTTGGATTCATTGTGGGAAAGTGTGTCACTTAACATCTTCCATTTCTCCACATTTAAAGGGATTTCGCTCTTTTAAGATTTCTAGAAATTGGAGAGTTGTTTGTAGTGTATAAGTGTTTTTTCTTTGATTTGTTTAGTGATGTGCTTTCTAACCTTGTAGAGGGATTACTTGTTCTCTCTTTGTATCTCTTTTTATATTTTTCAATAAATTTCAATCAATATATTATACATAATGTAATTTTCAAAAAAGATTTTTTCAAAGGCATCCAATATACTATTATGGCTCAAATTTTATTAGGCCATCTCTAATCATGACTAAAATTTTTTCTCAAGCTGAGTAAAATTTTTATTTGATATAAAACACTTTAATAGTAAACATCAATTTTTATTCACATTTTTTAAAATAATTCTCATCATATTTTAATAATGGCAATTTAGTAAATAAATGAAAAAATTATGACCTTTTGGACATTTGAGTCCGTTTTTGAGTTTTCGTTTCTTAAAAATTTGAGTAAAATTTAATTTGATATAAAATTGAATCAACACTGGATTAAGGGTTTTTATTTAAATTTAAGTTTGAATCAATATTTGAGAATAAAATTTAATTTGATATAAGATTGAATAAACCGTGGGTTTAGAGTCTTTACTCAAATTTATGTTTGAATCAACATTTGAGTAAGAATTGAAGATATCTTTACCTAATCAAGACCCTTCATTCTACTCAAACTTTTTTTAGAAGGTTCTACTCAAACTTCCATTAATTCCATTCTATACTTATTGTTTTGGTAAATAGAAAAGTTAGGCATTATAAAAAAAAATTTCATGAAAATGATCATGAAAGATTTATGATCTTTAGATTACCTTAATTAGTGTGTGGTGTTTTATTCTAAATATAATCTAAGGGTTACAAAGATTTCATGATTATTTTCATAAAAGGTTTTTCATGATACCTAACATTGTTGTTTGGTAAATTAAACTAAGTTCTCTTAGGATTTAAAAAAACAAATACATTAAATTCTAAAAGCGTGATGTAATTACATTGAATTTTTGTAAAGTTTTAATTTATATAATATTTTTTATTTATTTTTATCAATAATTCATTAATTGTATAGTAAAAAAATAATATTATTTTATCTTATTTAACATGTATCTATTCATCATTTGGATTACTTTTAAACCTTAATAAAAATAAATTAATATAATTATGTTAAAATGATCAAAGCTTTTCCTACCAATATTTGGAAAACATATCTTTTGGTCCAAATCAATTTTAATTTGGATTGATGCGTGAGCCGAAAAGGATAAATTACAAACACACTCCTTGAGGTTTACTTAAATTATAAATTATTCTTTGTAGTTTTAGAAATTATATTATATTTCTTAAGATTTCTAATTTCATAACAAATAGATCATTTTATTAATAAATTACCAAATTAATTAACAGTTTTTAATAATTTAAAATTTTTATTTTAATTAATAATTCAGATAATTTTATTATTATATATGTGAATAGTTAGAAATTTCACTTTTCAATTAATTCTGTTAAATAAAAAATTTTAATAGAATGATATTTATAATTTTTTAAATCATAAGAAATAATTTCTACTTTAATAAAATATCATTTATAATTTTCATATATATATATATATATATATATTATTGAGAAAAATACGAAATACATCGTTACGGTGCTGCTGAGAGAGAGAGAGAGAATCAGAGAGCCCTCAAAGATTTGTGTAAGTTGTTTGCCTCGTAATAGCTGAAGAAGATACAGCGATTGATTGGAACAAAACCTAACTTCGATCATCATCCGTAGATCATCATCAACCTGAAAAAGTGAAACAAAGAGAAAAAGATTCATCAAATACTACTTTCAGATATTTTGAATGGATAAAGGGAAAGGAGTGGTAATGAATCGAAGATGGGCTATCGATTTCACTGACAATTCAACTGTTCCTTCATCTCGCGACATCCCTGATCCCCCTGGTTTCTCTCGTGCTCCTCTCGATCAGGTCTCTCTTTCTCTCTCTTTGTTGCATTGTGGGTTTGAATTTTTGTTTTTTGTTGTTGTTATAGCTCTTTTGATTTGTTTGATTTGTTGTAGGATGATTCAACGTTGAGTCGCCAAAAGAAGGATGCTGAAGCTAATTGGAAATCTCAGGTAATTTCAATTTAACCTCTTTTTTTGTTTTAATAATTAATTTAAATTTAAAACTAGGTTTAGGATGTTGATCTGGGTTTATGAGATTTGGTAAAAGAAGGAAACAATTTTGAATCTTGTGTATGTACGGAAACAAGACTGTGTTATGGAAAAATTTTGTATCTTGTTTTGGTGTGGGTTTTGAAGTGGGAGCAAAATATACAAAGAACGTTGGATTTTTACTAATGTGTTGCTGGGTGTTTTACATGTCTATTTCGCCAATTGAATCCGTTTACTTCTACTTTTACATTCTAGCATGCCGGACTTGTTGCCAAAGTATTTAATGTATCTTCTTCTAGTGCCCATGTTGGATTCATTTTTATTACCATTTAATTATTCAATATGTTGCTCTATGTTTGTCATGCATTTTAGAGAAATTTTGTAACTATTTAAAACAAGAGTCGCCCGTGAAACAGTCTGGGCAATCTGGGGTTGCAGTCTGGGAGTCGCCAGTGGGGTCTTGGGTATGGGGGTCGCCAGAGGTGGAGGGTGGGGGCTTGGGTGCTGGCAGGGGTGGGTGTCCAAAGAAAATGGTATAGTTGGGATTATGGTGGGGTTTCAAAGAAGTGGGATATCTAAAAAAAAAAAGGTGGAGGCTATTAGTAGCACTCGGCAAAAGATGGTGCCAAAAAGTAAATTCTGCAACGTTAAGGATACTGTTGGGGACATGGTTTCTGATGGCCTTTTTCTTTTTTCTTTTTCCTAAAGTGGAATATTAATTTTTATTGATTGCAGATGGAGGACAACTAACATTGAAATTGTACTGATGGAATTGAATTAATAGATAACAAATTTGTCTAATTTCTCTGAAATTTTCAGCTCCCTAATTTAATTGGCAGTGGTTTTTTCTTTCTTCTTATACTCAGTTTTGGGTACCATAATTGCTAATTTGCAACTGACTGGTGTTACTTTTTGTTATAAACTTACTATCGCTTTCTGTTTGAGCAGAAAGCATGGGAAATGGCACAAGCCCCTTTCAAGAATTTGCTAATGATGGGCTTCATGATGTGGATGGCTGGAAGTACAGTGCATTTGTTTAGCATTGGTATCACATTTTCAGCTCTTTGGCAACCGATAAGTGCTCTTCAAGGAGTCGGGAAAGGTAAGGCACTAGATATAAATTTTATCTTTTACTTTCATATTCTTTGAACTTCTATGTTTTTGGCAGTGCAGACTTATTTTTCATAAAAAATGATTTTTTTTTTTTTGGTGGGGTAGGTTCATGGGTGAAGGTCGAGGGATGTAAGAAAACTTAAGAGCCCCTTTATGGTTCTCTTCATCTTTTCAGGCCTTTGATGTAAAATGAGATTGGAGTTCATTGATTGATTTTCGTTGTTAAAGAATGAGTGTGAAGGCATTACCTTCATTCCTCTGTATGAGGTGATTATTTATGGGCATAGGTTTGTGCCCTCTTCTATGATGTGCAGTATGCTAAGGACAATGGTTTTGGATTCTTTAGTCAAAGGAGAATCTTCTACATGATGAGGTGGGGGAAGTTGTGTATTCATGGTAGTTGTAATTATTGGCATTACAGGAGGGGGTTCTTGACATATGGACGGTGGATTTTCTTGCCAAGCAAAGAGTGTCTGCATCATAGATGTTTGGGGAACATTTCTATCCTCTTTGATGGGTTTTCTTTGTTTACCTTGTTTGTGTTAGTATTTTTATTGATTCATATTTATTTAATGATTGAAGGACAGTTGTCTTTTTTATGTACTACTTTCTCTTTGCCATAATTTATCTTCATTTCCTGTATTTGAAAGAAAAAAATAAAAAATTTGGTCCAACTGCGTTATGGATTCTAATATTAGATTTTGACTGTTTGATTCCATTCTCCCCTCTTGTTCTTCCGCATTCCTCTTTTTTTCCTTTTATTTATTGTTTGTTTGTTTTTATTTTGCTTGGGAGGTTGGGGACTGTATTTCAAGTAGTGCATTCTAAAAATTCTTCTGTTATATTCAGTAGTTATTATGCACCAAAAGAAATATAGCTGGTTCTATCAATTGCCACTTTGCGTAAATTTATCAGATTAAGCCAGTTGACATGATGACCTGATTAAGTTTTCATGCTTTTCACCTCTGCACTATATTTTTCCTTGTAATGCTGTGGTTTGGTATACTTGATCATGTTAACTGTCAATTATTTCTGCAGTTTTTGCGCCTTACAAGGACAGTAAAGTAGATCTTCTTGCACCCAAACTACTGTTCATCGCCCTCAATTTGGGGGGCTTAGCACTAGGTGTATGGAAGGTCAGATGCATTTTTCCTTTCCTTATTTTGCATATGTAAGAAACTTAAAATCTTTGCATCACATTCTCTTACATTATCAAATGTTTGATGTTGGCAGCTTAACTCATTGGGTCTTCTTCCAACCCACGCATCAGATTGGGTTTCATCCTTATCCCCTGCTCAGGTTCAATCCTTGAATCTAATTGGCATGCTTATTCCATTTTCTAGAATTCTTTCCTGTTTAAAATTAATGCTATTGGAGGATTTTACTCATCAGAATTAGTGGATTAAAAAGCTATGACCTGGGGAATAAATAATTGTAGTAGGACTAGATCAGTTAAAATCGTTAAATACTTATGGTCCCAAACCTCCATTGTTTCATTTTCTCATTTGAATCCTATAAACAGTTATAAGCTTCAATGGGTGTCAAATTTTTTGTGGTGTTATCTGGACTGTTATGACTCAGGAATTTAAATGGTTGCACAACTTGCCTTTGCATTTGATTTCATGTGCATCCCCTTGCTTTTTAAGAAAGCCCACACACTGCTCGCACGCGCACGTCCCTTGCACAGTCATGCTAGTATGACCATCACCAACATTTGAAATCATAATGCCTAGGCTGTGTCTCTGTGTCCAGGAAATAAAGACTTATTGGGAAGGCTGTTATTGATTTTGGCTAAACTATTCTTAAAAATAGTAATAATAGTAGTAATAAGGAAATAGTTAGTATGGTTCTTGTTAGTGAATTCCATAAATGCCCATGAATGTCAGGATGCCTAAAATTCTGTGTTTTTGCTACTTCATGGTGTTTCTTCTAACTTTTAAGGCTACAGTCTAATATATATGCATACATCTTCTTTTAACTTCTAGGGGATGCCTGAGACTTGTATATTTACTACTAATGCTACTTCATTGTGTGATAAAATTCATGAGTTTTCTCATTTTCAGGAGATTGAGTATTCTGGCGGGGGTATGCCTTTGCATTAAGGTGCTTGATCAGTTTGACTCCACATGACGTGAATGTAACGTAGAATTGAAGTTGATGGGGCATGGTTTGCGGCATGGAAGCTTCACTGATGTTATTGGGGCATGGTTTGCTCGTTATGATTTCATGGACCGTAGAACTCTTTATCATTTGGGCATGAAGTAACTTTGTAGTGTCTTCAATGGCCCGTGACTTATCTTTTATTATATTTGTGTTTACACTTCCAGTGAACAGATATTGTCAGCACAAAAACTAGTGTTCTTTGAAACAAGTTGCTTGAAAATTCAAATTAAGATACGGGAAATGTGATAGTTTGGAAACTGTTTTGAAACTGGACAGGAAGTTTGTAATCCACCTTGGAATCTATTGTTGTGGAAGTACTAGAATTATTTATTAACTTGTTTAGAGGTTTTTTTTCAGGTATTTGTGGTATTTGTCTGTTCTTTATGAATCTGATGAGGTTATTCTGCAAGGGGAATGAGTTTTCCTTGAAAATTTGTAATCCATTCATAGGATATCCTAAACTGGGATAGGGCTACATGGGATTACAGATTTGGGGTCCTATAATCCCAGATTTTGTTTTGGCTTGTAATGCCTTGCCTTGGATATCCTGTGAGTGCTCATTTTGGTTGACACTTATACAATGCTTGATAAGCTAACAACATTGCAACAATAATATTATTCCCCTCTTAAATGAAATCATTTCGATCCCAATGTCTATTTAATAAAATTGTAAATTGAGGAGGGTTCTCTCTTTCTATTTGTATGTTGTTTGAATAAGAGTGATGATTAAATTAAACATTTAACTTCGGCTCCAAGATCCCATGGGCTGACCCAATCTACCTAGGGCTGGGCCTTTTCACATTCGGAACTATTTCAAATAACTTCTCAAATTTTGAATAGTTATTGAAAGAACTAATATATATATATATATATATATATAATCTTGAGATTTAGGGCTAATTTAGAAATATGCACAAAAAATTAAAAGTTAGCTTTTAATTCATTTTGGATTACATCACATCACCTCTCACATAAAAAGTTTAAAAAGTTTAAAAAATAAAAATAAAAAAATTAATTTTTAATCATTTTTTCAAAATGAGGCATAGTGAGAATGCCGACAATAAAGTGGAAGAAGAGAAGAATGAGACGAGGATAACATGGCGGATAACAAATTGTTGACAATGTTAATAACGGATACGAATGAGAAATAAGGATGGGGAATAAGAATAAAAATGAGAAAGAAAAATGAAGAATATGAAATCAAAATTTGATAGGGTATTACATAAGAAGTATAAATTGTCAAAATTAAAATTAATTGTCTACACCTTATTACCCATCTAACATAAATAACATTAGCAGTTGACCCGTGCAATATACGTGCTACTAGTGTATGCCCGTGCCTAAAGGCACGGTGTAAATAATATTGAGATCGAAATATATTTGTAATTTATACACGTATCATGTTAAAACATGTGGAGTCTGTAACATTTTTTCTTCTTAAAAAACTTTTAATAATTTTGCTTGTACCATACCCTCTACAGAATTCAATTAAAAATAACAACTCCTCCTAGTCTTAATGCAAATTAAGGAATAAACATATAAAATTTATAATGTTCATTAAAATTAAAATGCTAAACTAATGTTCTGCAATTATAATAAAATAAAATTAACCAAATGCACACCAGCTAATATTCTACAATTCTAAAAAATTAAAATTGGATGCCAAACAATGCACATCAGCGCTCTGCAATTCTAAAATAATTTAATTAAAACAAAACAACAAACAATGCACACCAACCAATCATTTGTAATTTAAGACCAAACAACAAACAATGCACGCCGGTGCTTTCCAAATATGAACGTAAGTTCAAATAGTCTTGTGGGGTGTATTCATTCTGGAGCCCAACCTCCACTAAAGCCTTGTAAATGGTTTCATACATCATTTGCATTGTTTTGTTCTGTACAATAAATGAGAGATAATTTCAAAATAAAAAATTGATCCTTCTGAAGTATGTACACTGATGGGCAGATTAATAGAATTTTTTGATTTCCCATATTAATCCAATGAAAAAAAAAAGCAACAAAGTTATCCATCTCTGAAGCTGCCTTTAAAATGCAGAAGCATAATGCTATGCGTTGAAGTCATAATTGGTTCATACCTGCCAAAATAAAATCCTTTGTGTAGCAGCACCTGTTGGATTGCCTTCTGGCCACATCGGAATAACAATATAAGCTGCAAACCTCTCACGTGCTTCGATTTTCTCAGCAATTTTAAGTGCAATTTCCATGGGAATCAAATTGTTCGCACCTACAACAAGAAAATATGCTCACAATCAGTATTCAGTAAAGGAATTCCAGGCATAAAAGCTTAGGAAAGCATTTATTTATTGTCATATCAAAGGCCACTTCACTCTCAACTAAAACACGATGTAGCAAATCAAAAGAACTACCTAATCCTATTAAACCGTCTACCGTAAGTAAAGACACAGAAAAAATCCTCAACCAATCTCTTTGTTTGCTACAACCAAGCAAGTTTCACTACCATCACATTGAAAGCTTATGTTGTTAGAGAAAGGAGTAACTTCATCAAGATGTATGGGTAACTTCATTATTTGTATCCTTAACACTCCCACTCACATGTGAACATGCTCTCATTCATTAATGGATAGATCACCAGTTATCCCAAAAGCTTAAATTGTCAATAGATGAGCCCAATAATGTATGTTATGTTAACACTCAATAAATAGTGTTGAAAAAAAGAAGCATAGTAACATACCCTCTTCTCATGGCATCCCAAGCAGCCTTTTTTCTTTCATTCTTAGCTAAAACAATAGAGCCCCAATGCAAGGGCAATTGAACTCACAATTATTAAAAAAATATGAAGTTATCACCCCAATTAATTATTGAATAGGTCCTTAGAAAATCAATATTCTGTAAGTCATTATTGAACCTCACCTCTAAAATTCATTAGACATTCCACCATAATCTCCTCCATATCCACCTTGATAAATGAGAGCTTGCTCTGTAAAAATTGGCTCATAGTTTAGCATCCAAAATAACATGCTATAGTCTAGTACTTGCAGGGAAGCAATTGATGAAGCTATGTTGCCATATTAGCCTTCAGTACATCATAATGTGTTCTAAACAGAAACATGTATTGAAACTATATAAAGCTAGCCTTTTTAAATTAAGCAGTGAATCTAATTAATTCAAATCGAATAGTCCATGTAAATAAAACCCAGTAGCCTAAACACTTCAAGTAATTGTCTATATGCCTAAACACTTCATTCGTGACTCCATTGTTTTACTAATCCTTGGTGAATGTAGCTTAAGAAAACAAATAATTTAAAACACCTCTAATAGGTCAGATTTGTAGATTGCTGCCAATTTGTTTTCTTTAGTTTTTTTTTTATTTGGATTAAAATTTAGCAGAGTGATGCTACATTACTGAGAGATTTAACTCACATGTGAGTTGCAAAATTCCTTTCTAATCCCCCTGCTTTTTCTTTTCTTTTCTTTTGCTAGGCTAAGAAAATGCAAATTCAGGGAGGCCAAAGTTAACAGTAAATATCATATCTCTGGCAATGTTAAACATAGGGATGAGATAAAAATCCAATTTGAACCATAAACTTCCTCAACCAGTGATTTAGTAGAAACACCAAATTCAACACTTAAACTGAACATGTTTCACTGTTTAGTGAATCCTACCAAACACAACTTTGCTTTCCTAAAATGCAGCAACAAAATTCACAAATTCTGAACCACAAAACAACACCCAAAATATTTAAAAACAAAAAATATCAAAACTTTCTTCTGGGTATTGTAGTAACCAATTGTTAAAAGCTGGGTTGCTGAGATTTCAATGTAACATTAAACTGTACTGTTTCTGTGATTGTTCATATGCATATATATGCGTGAATCCAACGAAACATAACTTTCCTAGTATGCAGCAACAAAATTCACAAATTCTGAACTACAACTGTTTGTGTGTGTCTATGAGTGAGTGAATCAATTGGGGATATTATTGAATTGGATTACCATTAGGATCTGGTTCAGGTGAGCTGATCAAAGGGGCGTGAAGAGAAGGAGGGTAATATCGATCAGAAGAAGAAGTAGCAGATCGAATTTCATCGACGCTGACTTCAGTTCCAGCCAAGGAAGCTGTTGGAATTATAGAACCAGCCCTTTCCACGAACTGATACGAACTCCATCTCTCGAAGCTCTGTTTTTCTTCTACTACATCGCTCTTCTCTGTCAATCAGAACCCAAATTTACAAATCAAAACATTGGGGAAAACCAAAATTGAAAGCCTATGAAAGTGGAATTTTACCTGAGAGCAATGCCTCCTCCATTGTAGTTTGTTGTTCCATATTTCTTTGAAGAGAAAGAGAGATTGAGATTCAATTATGCAATGAAATCGTCATATAGGAGTGTATATACACTTAGTGGAGTCTGTAAGCCACTTCTGCAAACCAAATTTCATGCCAAAAGTGACTTCAACTATCTAGTTTTGAGATAATCATTAACCATGCTCAAGTCCACCGGGTATTCTTAGATTGCATCAATTTTTTCACACCATAATATCTAATATTGCATAACATAAACAAAAATGCCAGATAAAACTTTTTTAAGTTTTGGTTGGGTAGTCTTCGGTCTATAGAAGATTCTATCATTTGTGCTTTCAGAAAAAGAAATATAAACATCATGAGTTTTGCATGTGAGGGAATAGTTCCTTACCTATGTCTTTATGGGAGCTCCAATTGTATGAAGACCCTATGATATATTGATTTTCAATATAGATGAAATGCTGAGCAGCACGAATAGCCTTTACATATGCATGGCTACTAATAGAAATTTTTTTTTTTTAAAAAAAATTATAGAAAAAAAAAAGCAAAAAATCATATGCATAAGGTAACCATTCCCTTTAGAATTATACCACCGGGATTTTTGTTAACCCAAGAAAAACAAATTTAGTGATGTACTAATTTTGTTGTTAAAGTGGCAGATAACATCAAATTTTATTGCTAAGAATATAATTGAAACTACAAATATCTTCTGTTTATTCTCTACTACAAAAGTTTCTCTTTCTTTCTCCGATTCAAATATTAGGAAAGTAAATGCAACATATCAGCCTATACCCATTTTTTATATAATAGGGATATGAAAATAGAACAGTTAATTTCATGAAACAGAGTACTCATAAATGGCACCTTAAACTTCACAAAAACATCAAAACAAACAAAACCCAGTAGAAATTATAACCCGATAGATATATATGAAATGAGAGGAGGTGAAATATGGGGTTTCATGAAACTGAGAAGAAAACAATTTATACACTGGACTATACATGAACCTGCTAAATGACACAAAATATACTGTCAATAAATTCAATATAACTGCATCCATTAACAGCTAATGAA